CTTGACACTTTCTTAGACAACCAATCACCAACATGGGCTGTCTAACACAGCTGATTGCAAGGGAAACTGTGGAGTTGCAACTGGATACTCGAGCAACAGTCAACATGCACAATCAACACAATCATGACCTGTCGTGCTGACAATCAGTATTACAGGAACATGTCTAGGTGTGTTGTGTGTACAATACTCCTGGAGTGTGGCAGCAGGTGGAGCAGTCGTGGGGCCACACAGCTCACTTGGTCACTGTCGGTGAGGCGTGACCCCAGGCGGACCCCAGGGGGACCCTAGGGGGACCCCAGGCGGACCCCAGGCGTGACCCCAGGTGTACCCCAGGCGGACCCCAGGCGTGACCCCAGGCGTGACCCCAGGCGTGACCCCAAGCGTGACCCCAAGCGTGACCCCAGGCGGACCCCAGGGGGACCCCCAGGCGGACCCCAGGCGGACCCCAGGGGGACCCCAGAGGGACCCCAGGCGGACCCCAGGCGGACCTCAGGGGGACCCCAGGGGGACCCCAGGTGGACCCCAGGCGGACCCCAGGCGGACCCCAGGGGGACCCCAGGCGGACCCCAGGGGGACCCCAGGCGGACCTCATTCGGACCCCAGGTGGACCCCAGGCGGACCCCAGGCGGACCCCAGGGGGACCCCAGGCTGACCCCAGGCGGACCTCAGGGGGACCCCAGGTGGACCCCAGGCGGACCCCAGGCGGACCCCAGGGGGATCCCAGGCGGACCTCAGGCGGACCCCAGGTGGACCCCAGGCGGACCTCAGGGGGACCCCAGGTGGACCCCAGGCGGACCCCAGGTGGACCCCAGGCGGACCTCAGGGGGACCCCAGGTGGACCCCAGGCCTCCAGCTGTGGCGGGTGACAGCAAAGTGAGACAATCTGTGGCTGATCTTCACAATCATCGGTCTGAGTATTCTCACGGGAAGATACACGAATATGGCAGTCCATCTCACAGCTACGACGGCTGCCAGCGGCTGCGGGCGGCTGCCAGCGGCTGCGGGCGGCTGCCAGCGGCTGCGGGCGGCTGCGGGCGGCTACGGGCGACTGCCAGCGGCTACGGGCGGCTGCCAGCGGCTATGTGCGGCTGCGGGCGGCTGCCAGCGGCTACGGGCGGCTGCCAGTCACCCCAGTAACACAACACACGGTGGCGGCTAAAGCCTTAGTTCTTACTTTTCACTTTCGTGTAAGACACGTCGCCTTCAGACTGTGTGTGGGCGCCTACAGTTTACACTCAACCTTCACTCAACACTCACAATTATATCAGTAGGAGCCGTCACGAGGATTCGAACCCAAGTAATTGGTACTCCTTAACTCACACGGCCTAGACCACTACACAACATGATTAAAAAGAACAATTCAACCAGGGATTCAACTGAATCCCAGGTGTCTAGAATTCAACCCGTCCTCGACTCGAGTCCATTCCATCCAGCGGTCAACCCCCACAGACGCATTCATAAATTTGAACATGCTGTTCATTCAAAACAAGAATTTTCTCAGATATAAATTAATATTATAATATATTGGCATATTGGGCTTATATTGGCTTAGGTTAGGTTAGGTGTTTAGGTTCTGTTGGCGATTATTTGTAGTACGTGGGTGAAGCATTTACGGCGTTGTGGTTCGAACACAAGTCGTCAGTGAAGCACTTGTTCGGAACGGAAAGTGTTCGAACGTCAGCAGTTCTGAGTTTTTCATTCATCAACAGCGGGTTTGGCGGGTGCATGGAGTCACTTTTGAGTCTTGAGTTGTGGTGAGTTGCAACACTTCAGTGGTAAGTGTTCTTGCACAGTGGGGCTCCGGCCACTTGCAATGGAAGGGAAGTATGAGGGGGGGGGGGGAAAGTGCCAAGCCATTACGACTATATAGCACTGGGAAAGGGTCAGGATATAAGAGATTTGGGATGGGACGGGAGGAAAGTAATGGTGCCCAACCACTTGTGGACGGTCGGGGGATTGAACGCCGACCTGCATGAAGCGAGGCCGTCGCTCTACCCTCCAGGCCAAGTGGTTGGGCCAGTAATTGGAAGATATTTACAACGAATTAATGAGCTCTAGTTAACGTGACTTTGATGGTATGATTGTAATTAGTGACCGCTGACACACACACACACACACACACACACACACACACACACACACACACACACACACACACACACACACACACACACACACACACACACACACACACACACACACACACACACACACACACACACACACACACACACACACACACACACACACACACACACACCTGCCTTAGTACAGCAGTTTCTTGACGTTGGGGACAGTTTCCTCGTGTGTTGTACTGTGTGGTCTGTACAACACCCGAGTACTGCTTCCACGAATTCTCCCAGTACTGAAGATCGGATTATATCGGATTACGGATTAGATATGATTCAGGCTTAGATCATATTACGGATTAGATCGGATTCCGGATTAGACTGAATTCACGTGTGTATATAATTCTTCCCATGCAGACTACTTGGGTCTTTACACAGTCATTAGACCCGGGTTTAATCCCCCACACCTGCCTTAATCCCCCACACCTGCCTTAATCCCCCACACCTGCCTTAATCCCACACACCTGCCTTAATCCCACACACCTGCCTTAATCCCCCACACCTGCCTTAATCCCCCACACCTGCCTTAATCCCCCACACCTGCCTTAATCCCCCACACCTGCCTTAATCCCACACACCTGCCTTAATCCCCCACACCTGCCTTAATCCCCCACACCAGCTTTAATCCCCCACACCTGCCTTAATCCTTAAATTAAGCACGCCCTGATCCATGGTAGCCCTGATCCATGGTAGCCCTGATCCATGGTAACCCTGATCCATGGGTTAAGGCGTGCGACCGAGGCCACTCAGAACGCTGGTTCGATGCTCTCATTGGTACATAGGAAGTTATTGTGATATTCTTGTGTAATTCTGTCTTGGTTGACGACATATTTTTCCGTCAATGTTTCACAATTTGAGTTTGAACTTCCTTTAATGTTCTTAGGAAGAGTTAGTCTGTTGGTGCACGTGTGTTGGTACTCGTATAGTTGTGATGGCGGGGGTTGAGCTCTGGCTCTTTGGTCCCGCCTCTCAACCGTCCATCAACTGGTATGGTGTTGTTTGGTCTTGTTCAGCGTGTGTGTACGTCATTCCCACAGTGGAGATAGCTGCAAGTTCTCCTTATTTTCAAGCACAGGTGTTGGAAAAGTAATATTATTAAAATTTTATATAATCAATACGGAAGAAAAAAAATAATTTAAAAAAAATTGTTGAAAAATATATACCTTCATCAACTAGCTCCCCATTTTCTCTTTCCACATGACCCGTGAAATGAGGAAATTGGGAAAAAAAGTATTTTTTTTGCCCCGTGATCCAGGTTTTAACTTGTAGCGGAATTGTTTCACTCTCAACAGTGTAAGGCTCAGTTTGGTGCGCCAAGACCAATTATCTCTTTCCAGTTTTCGCAGAGAAATAAAAAAATTTTCTAGCTCATTCTAATGTTCTGTTTGAGTCTTCGTTTCTTTGCAAGATTTGTGGAATATATTGGGGTTTATTTATGGATTTATTTGGCATCCATGGAGAGAGTCCGTGTGGGTCTCTGACTTAAGTGTAGCTCTTGTAGGGAGTTCTTGTCTTACTCCTTTGTTATATGGGAGTTGATATTTCTATGGCAGGGCCACACTGACCCTCCACACCTGGTAGTTGTGTGTGTCAGGGGCCACACTGACCCTCCACACCTGGTAGTTGTGTGTGTCAGGGGCCACACTGACCCTCCACACCTGGTAGTTGTGTGTGTCAGGGGCCACACTGACCCTCCACACCTGGTAGTTGTGTGTGTCAGGGGCCACACTGACCTTCCACACCTGGTAGTTGTGTGTGTCAGGGGCCACACTGACCCTCCACACCTGGTAGTTGTGTGTGTCAGGGGCCACACTGACCCTCCACACCTGGTAGTTGTGTGTGTCAGGGGACACACTGACCCTCCACACCTGGTAGTAGTATGTCAGGGGCCACACTGACCCTCCACACCTGGTAGTAGTAAGTGTCAGGGGCCACACTGACCCTCCACACCTGGTAGTTGTGTGTGTCAGGGGCCACACTGACCCTCCACACCTGGTAGTAGTGTGTGTCAGGGCCACACTGACCCTCCACACCTGGTAGTTGTGTGTGTCAGGGCCACACTGACCCTCCACACCTGGTAGTAGAGTGTGTCAGGGGCCACACTGACCCTCCACACCTGGTAGTAGAGTGTGTCAGGGGCCACACTGACCCTCCACACCTGGTAGTAGAGTGTGTCAGGGGCCACACTGACCCTCCACACCTGGTAGTAGAGTGTGTCAGGGGCCACACTGACCCTCCACACCTGGTAGTAGAGTGTGTCAGGGGCCACACTGACCCTCCACACCTGGTGGTAGAGTGTATCAGGGGCACACTGACCCTCCACACCTGGTAGTAGAGTGTGTCAGGGGCCACACTGACCCTCCACACCTGGTGGTAGAGTGTGTCAGGGGCACACTGACCCTCCACACCTGGTAGTAGAGTGTGTCAGGGCCACACTGACCCTCCACACCTGGTGGTAGAGTGTCAGGGGCCACACTACCCCTCCACACCTGGTAGAAGAGTCGGTCAACTACCTTACACCACCGGCAGTGTGCTGGTTCAATTAATTACTTCATAAGTTAACATGATCATCGTCAGCTCAGACAGTGAGGCAGCTTACTCTGATCTTTAGCTGTGGCAGCTAAAGCTAAAGATCTGTTAGCTTTTAACAGACCTGTGTTGTGTTCCACGCGCCTCTCTGCTTCTCATCTTAGTCTTGTGTATTAATTTTCACCTCTATCTTATCTCCCTGCTGCGTTTCTTCATTTTTACTCTGCATTTGTTTGATTTTATTTGAATTTGAAGTATTTGAATTTCTTGCCAGTATATATCATATAAAATTAGGCACGTATTTGTTCAAGTAAATATCAATATTATTGTACCTCTGGCAGCATGGAGAACGAGACTGAGCCCTCCGTCCCGTGGGTGGGAGCCACCAGGAGAGAGGAGCCTTTTGTTCACCACCTGCCCGCCCAGCTGCCCACCCAGCTGCCCACCCAGCTGCCCACCCAGCTGCCCGAAGCACCATACTACCTCCACCACCTCAACCAGACGTCGTCGGTGGAGGAGCGGCGGTGCCTGGAGGCGTCGCTGGAGGCGGTGGCTCCCTCCGGTAAGTAAGGGAGACAAACTAGTCAACACGGGTGGCCCCCTCTGTGGGCCCCCTCTGTGGGCCCCCTCTGTGGGCCCCTTCACCACCTGAGCCAACACACCGACAATTTGTCAATTAGGAATGTGTCAGAATACGTCACTCTCCTGTCTCCTCTCTCACACACTCTCTCTCTCTCTCTCTCTCTCTCTCTCTCTCTCTCTCTCTCTCTCTCTCTCTCTCTCTCTCTCTCTCTCATTATCTCCACGCAGCGCCTTGTATACATTTTGTTTATATTTTTTGTATTTCAATTTTGCCCTAAGTGGCAATATTTTTGTGGACCTCAAGGAGGACTTCGCGGCCTCTCTCACTTTCTCTCTCTCTGTCTCTCTCTGTCTGTCTCTCTCTCTGTCTGTCTCTCTCTCTCTCTCTCTGTCTCTGTCTCTGTCTCTGTCTCTCTCTCTGTCTCTCTCTCTCTCTCTCTCTTTGTCTCTGTCTCTGTCTCTGTCTCTCTCTCTTTGTCTCTGTCTGTCTCTCTCTCCTACAACGTTACTAATAATACAAGAACAGATGTAAGTATGTCCTAATAATTAATGATATTTACAGAAAATAGTAGTTTCCCTTTAGCTTCGAATCTATGAGTGCTGGTACAGAGGGGGGAGGGGGGGTGTTGGTCTGACTTCGGTGTGCTGGTACAGAGGGGGGAGGGGGGGTGTTGGTCTGACTTCGGTGTGCTGGTACAGAGGGGGGAGGGGGGGTGTTGGTCTGACTTCGGTGTGCTGGTACAGAGGGGGGAGGGGGGGTGTTGGTCTTACTTCGGTGTGCTGGTACAGAGGGGGGAGGGGGGGTGTTGGTCTGACTTCGGTGTGCTGGTACAGAGGGGGGAGGGGGGGTGTTGGTCTGACTTCGGTGTGCTGGTACAGAGGGGGGAGGGGGGGTGTTGGTCTGACTTCGGTGTGCTGGTACAGAGGGGGAGGGGGGGTGTTGGTCTGACTTCGGTGTGCTGGTACAGAGGGGGGAGGGGGGGGTGTTGGTCTGACTTCGGTGTGCTGGTACAGAGGGGGGAGGGGGGGTGTTGGTCTGACTTCGGTGTGCTGGTACAGAGGGGGGAGGGGGGGTGTTGGTCTGACTTCGGTGTGCTGGTACAGAGGGGGGAGGGGGGGTGTTGGTCTGACTTCGGTGTGCTGGTACAGAGGGGGGAGGGGGGGTGTTGGTCTGACTTCGGTGTGCTGGTACAGAGGGGGGAGGGGGGGTGTTGGTCTGACTTCGGTGTGCTGGTACAGAGGGGGGAGGGGGGGTGTTGGTCTGACTTCGGTGTGCTGGTACAGAGGGGGGAGGGGGGGTGTTGGTCTGACTTCGGTGTGCTGGTACAGAGGGGGGAGGGGGGGTGTTGGTCTGACTTCGGTGTGCTGGTACAGAGGGGGGAGGGGGGGTGTTGGTCTGACTTCGGTGTGCTGGTACAGAGGGGGGAGGGGGGGTGTTGGTCTGACTTCGGTGTGCTGGTACAGAGGGGGGAGGGGGGGTGTTGGTCTGACTTCGGTGTGCTGGTACAGAGGGGGGAGGGGGGGTGTTGGTCTGACTTCGGTGTGCTGGTACAGAGGGGGGAGGGGGGGTGTTGAAGTGTTTTATGGTGCTACGGGTAAAGTGTGAATAGCAGAGAATTTCTGTAAATGTTCCTAAAATCAGTGAATGATAGTTTGTTAAAAATTGTATTTTTTATTTGAATATTTAGCTATGTGAGTAGTTCCGAAATTTCTTGTGAGGGTCTGAATGACCGGAGAACGCAGTTCCCACCTTGAATTCTGGGAGCCCCAATCATCCTATGTTTGCCCCGTAACCCAGACCATTTTCCTGCAAAGTCACACACACACACACACACACACACACACACACACACACACACACACACACACACACACACACACACACACACACACACACACACACACCTTTATATATATATATATATATATATATATATATATATATATATATATATATATATATATATATATATATATATATATTTATAAAGGGTACCACCTCTGGTTGCGTTTATAGGGACCCTCGACCTCGAAGAAGACGATATGCACCATCCGGGGAGGCCTTGTGGGGCACCAACGTACTCATATATTGTCTCCTATCTTCCCCTATATTGTGTGCATTTTGTGATTTTATCTTATTCAAAATGTCATTACACAAAAAGGGTTACAACATTGGTTACATGCAGGGTACAAGGCTGCTTGTCACAAGTTGTAGAGCTCCTCCAGCTCCTCAGATGGCGGGCAGGAACCATGGATGCAGTGAGCACTTCCTCTCTGGATCGCCACACTAAGGTGCTGGAAGCGGAAACTGGCAGCTCTAGGGTCTCTAGTTTTTTCGATTAGCTTGGAACCCAACTCCTTCAAAAAACTAGCAGCATGTTTACCCCAGGCACCAAGTGTGTCTGAGGCAATGGGGACAAAACTGTAGTGGTGCTCAAGGTCTCCATATTTACGTGACTTGGCCGGTTCCCGGTGATGGCAGCTCCTCCTGCTTGTGCAGCACTGAAGTTAACATAGGTGTTGGCTAAGGTTGAAACGCAAGTGTAGTCCCACACCAACTGTCTACCATTCTTCCAGGGGTTCACCGTGATCCCGTCTGGGCGACCGACAGGCTCATCAGAGTTGCGGGGTATTAGGTAACGGGGGCTCTCTCTCTGCTGGACAATTGGCTGTGGCGAAGATCCTCTTATGAATGTCATTAGTCTCGCCGTGTCTTGCATGCTATCCTCCTGTGCTATAACCGAGCAGGCCGTGCCGTCCGTACCTGTCGGCCTCTGCCTCGCTGCGAATACACCTGTGTTCAGTGAGGAGTGGGGCAGGAAGGAGGAGAGCGACAGTAATTTAGAGGGCGTGCGGGATGAGGGCTCCAGGATGAGCCAGGGCGGCTCACTTTACACTAAAGCTTCACAGGAGGCGCCCGTTTGTCCTGTCGCTCCGCCACTATTGGGCGGGCACCGTTGAAGAGATGCTTGTGAGCAGGACTGACACCAGAAATAGTCAGGGACGACATCCGGCAGCAGGGTGAGAGTCCAGGAGCAAATTTTGTAAACGAATCCGTAGGAGCTGTGCAAGAAGAAGACGGAGCGACTGAGATATTTCATGTGTCAGCAATTGAAGAGCAGTGGTGGAAGTCCCAGGGCGGTGGTGGAGGTCCCAGGGCGGTGGTGGAAGTCCCAGGTCGGTGGTGGAAGTCCCAGGTCGGTGGTGGAAGTCCCAGGGTGGTGGTGGAAGTCCCAGGGCAGCTGGCCCTTTCCCAGGCGGTGGTGTGGGGCTCGGCCCAGCTAGTGCAGCAGTTATGGGGGCCAGAGGTTAGAGCCCCAGGCCACCAGGTGAGGGTTGGCTGGAGGTAACTGTGTTGTGAAATTACTGGTGAATACAAAGGAACCTCTAGTGAGGTGGGACCCAAGAGCAGCAGTCCAGGGTGTTATGTTCGCGTCCCGGGGCTTATTGATCTATATATATATTGACAGTGGATTGGGCAGTGGCCGCCCAGTTAGTAGTGACCAGGAAGAACAATATATTGTTACTATGGTGGCGGGTCAGAAATTTAGCTGCGGCCCGGGGGATGCCAGGGGTCGCCAGCCAGCACGAGTGTCGAGACATTCATTTACTACAAATGTCATTGTTGGTGTAGCTGAATTACATTTGGTTTTGGGAGTAATATAAGAGATTTGTTCCTGTAGAGCTTGGCGAGGCGAGTCTGTGGACACGCCACAAGCTTACATTACTATAATTATGTATTAAAGTAGCCTAATATCCCAGACTACCAGAAATGTCAAAGGGAGAATTTTGATTTATCCAGATATTTTCAATTTAAATGTAATTTATTTGTGACCAAATTTATAGATCAGATTAAGAACTCATGAGTGACGCAATGAATGTCTATGGGTGTTTTTTTTTTTTTTTTAGGAATATTAATTTTTATATATGATTTATTGGCCCAGAGAGTAAATGGTTTGTTGACTAAATTTAAACTGTAATACTGATATGATTTCATTGAAAATATTGTTATGAGCAATTATTGTGATTAAGTATATGAACTTTTGATTGTGATGGATTGATATATACATATTGGCCTAGAAGAGGCTTTATAGGCATCCTTTGTATAAAGGACAGTGATAGAAATAGATTGAACATTTTACAAGCGAGGCTACCGGAAGTCCAGCCACATTTATGGTAAGGTAAACCTTCAGAAATCAGTTCCATGTATGACAGTCTTTATTTGAAGTCATTTTGATGTTAGTAATGTATGAGTAATTTGTCCAGGAAATGTTGTAAAGCTGGAATACGATGTTATTACTCATTACCTTAACGTCCCCGCGAACAGGGCGGTTCCACGAAAGGTCCTCAAACACTTAACTGGCGCTGTTCAGATGGCAGTATTGTCTTTGGTAAATATAATAGTGGGCGTGATAGGTGACCAGGAGCCACCTATCACGCCCTAGGGAGCCATTGGTCAGCCGCGTGGTTGTCCCGCCTTCCGCCAGAGGTCTCTAGGGGGGACAGAGGCCATGTTATGAACAGGTATACGAGCCCTCAGTGCCCACCCAGCCTTTGTAGGGGGAGTATGTCGCGTGCTGCTCTCACTACCGTCAAGAACCTCTCGCTTTCTCAACATGACATTCTTTAGTTTTTACTGATATTATTGATTTTGTAATTCTGATAACAATAGGGGCTCTCTGAATAAACTTCTAAAAATATGGGAACTTATTTTTTTTAATTATAAGCCGGAACTATTTTATGATCAGTTGCTTATTATAGGTTAAGGAAGTTACAACACAGATGAGCTACAACCAATAGGTCCGTTGTGTTGCGAGTGTTGTGCCACAACACTTTTAAAAGAATTTGGTTTGTTTTGAAATGTTTTTCTTTGATCGGGAATTTATTGGAGGCAAAAACCTCACCATTTTTCAACCCCAATTGTACGAACGTATATTTTTTTTTACATATTTTTAGCGCAGTCTCATTTTTTGTTCATTA